CTATTATAATGTTCAAAAATGTTGCAGTATAGATGCCAAACGTACGATAGTTATAGAAGTTTTAGTACATACAAATTTTTAATAATAATTAATTTTTAATTTTATTAATAAGTTATGTTACGTATAAACATATGGGTGCAAACGTATGAGGTTTAAGAAAGCTTTATTTTCAAAATATTTTGAAGAATATTGCCACCTGTTTAAAAGTCAAATACCATTTTCCCATATGTTAAATAAAGATTACAAAATGGATGTTAATCGAAAGAAGTATGAGAAGGCTTTATTTCAAAAGTATTTTTAAAAGGGGTTGCCACCTGCGTAAGTCAATTTAAATTAAATCAACAAGTTAAATGAAATGATGTCAAGTCTACCAAGAGATATTTAGAAAGGCTTTATTTCAAAAATAAATTAAAACCCGAATTAAATTTAATCAGTTATTTTAACGAAATATTACAATATGGATGTCCAGCGAAATGGCTCAAAAACGCCTTAATACGAAAACATTTGAAGAGGGTGTCCCTGTTTGAAAAATTGTATTCAAGTGAACATTTGCAAAAAGGAATATCTTTCGCCTTTACCAAAAAGATAAATGAAATATACCAATGGGATATTGATATGAAACAAAGAGTCTTTGTTTTTGTTATTGAGACACATTTTTTTTTGAAGAATTGTCACATGTTAAAATAATTTAAAAAATGTAATAAAATGGCCAATTTACTTGGGCAACTTTCTTAAATAAAATTTATTATTTTCGGTGATATAAAATATTTGCATTTTGTTGCATCTGAAATCGGGCAGAGTTGCGGGCAAAAGCTAGTACTTACATACATTAGGGCGGGTTAGTTTTTTTTTTTTTGGACTATGTGCGTATAGCATAGGAGGATTCTATGTGTAATCCTACGCAAATTTGCCGAAGAAACCATGGATCTAAAATTAATTTGGAGTTTGCCAAATTACGAAAATAGGTTTCGTAGAAAATGCGAAAATTTTCACTGTTGCGCCCTCTAGTGGAAGTTTTAAGAAAAAGATAAGTGCGGAATGGATTCCTTATACAAAAAAAAAAAACCCTTAAACTTCTTTACGACACTGCATGGTATATTCGGCAAATTTTATTAGAATTACACGTAGAATCCTTTTTTGCTATACGAGCTTAGTCGAAAGAATCTCCAGTACAAATTGATTCGCCCTAATGTACATACATATGTATGTATTTCGACTGGTTGTGACAAACATCCGAATAGCATGAAAAATTATGAATTACGGCCAATTACTTAATCAGTCTTTAGATTTCTCAATCAGTCTTCATAGATATGTATCAAAAACATAAGCCTACTCGTGCGCTAACCTCTATATAAACACATTTAACCCAGTGGCTTGTTAGCTGTGTTACATATACATACATATGTATGTATATGGTGTATGGACGTGCAGGTGAATATACATTCATACCCTGTCGTGAAGCGCATCAGTTCCGAACTCGTTCGGTTCTAAAAATTTTGGAATTAGCAAATTTGCGTATCACTGAATGGAAACGGTTAGAAATAAAATAGATAGTTCGATCTTTCACAAAACGATGCATTTATAATTGTTCTGGCTGCTTGCAACAAAACATTATTTTTTAGAAAAAGTGGACTTATCAATTTTGTACTCTAAGCTAGCGATATGTAGTTAAAAAAAAAAAAGAAAAAAATAGTTTTTTAATAGTATCATATTTAGGTGTTTTTGGACTGGTTTTGGACCCAGCTACCATTAGACTATCATCGCTTTTGGCGATAAAGAACTGGTACTGAACTATTAGAAATGTGGTTCACCAGTTTGGAGTTTCCCTGCAGGTTATATATGTACATACATATTTATATGTGTATGGGTGTAAATCCTATATGTATTTGTTTATATTAACGAACTCACATTAGCCAAATCCTGGGTGGGTGTATTTGCCATTATGTTATTATTAGCGTGTCGTGCCGCCGCCCCGCCTATGCCATTTACTATGGCGCCATTTCCGCGTCTCAATGTATTTCCGCCATTCAATAACATGCCTCTATTTGTTGTTGTAGTTGTTGATGCCACCACCACACTGAGTGGTTGCAATGGTGGCTGATGTATGGGTGGTGGCGTAGCTGCATCGATCTCATTTATAGTTAATATTTCACTATTTATTTGTTGTTGGGGTTGTTGTTGTTGTTGTTGTGGCGACAATTCATTTCGTTGTAGATTCAAGGCCGCATCTAAGTTGTCAACACCTAAAAGAGTATCACGTTGCGATTGCAAGTGTTCGACCCAGGCTTCGGCGGTGGCCATACGCGGTCCCGGACAAGTCGCCTCCAGTTTGCTGATCCGTTCGTCCAGATGCACAAATTCCTCGACAACCGCGACGGGATCCTATGGGGGAGAAAATATGGAAAGGGAGGGGGTTCACTTTTACTCGCGCACTCGTATCGGTATTCGTACCATATCGCCTTGCTGCCAACGTTCCAAGCTCTGTATGGGCTCTTCTAAAACGCTATTCGTATCCATCGATGAACCACATCCCATCATACGAGTAGAAATTTTATGGATAAACGCATATTTGTAGTTAACGCGTAATTGAGGCACTGCTTATGGAATTCAACGATCAATGGCAAAGATAAAAGTGTGGAGCTGCGCACAAAAATGTATGGTTTATTGGAAATCCAAGCACTTTTTACTTCATAAACTATTTCCAATAAAATTTATTTTGCCTGCCACTAATTACCTACTTTACTGCTTATTTTCTTCACTTTTTTCTGTACTTAATTAATTTAATATTTCTCCACGCGCTAGCTTACACTTCGTTGTTCACTTTCATAATTTCACTTGTCAATCGTTTGACCGCCAATTTCTAAATGAAATCCATTTACTTGCTTAGGCTGCATATTAACCTAACGAATGGTCAAATGGACAGCAGTTCGTTGAGCTTTAACCCAACTGCATTTTAAGTATATATTTTCATATTTACATTCACACACATACATACATATTTACATAAATATACCTACATATAAATGCATACAAACACATCCGATGGTATCCTTTTATACAATTTTTCCACACTCTATTACAGGCATCCCTGTAGGAAATTTTACTCGATACTAGCCAAGTCAATTCGTGTCTAAACTATCTATCGTGCCGCTTTTTCGTTACATCGAAGTTTGCATTTATGAACGTCCTACCGAACGTAAAGAAGTTTCACTTCAAAAAATCTATCGAACACCTGGACCTTGCATCTATTAAACGCTTTATCTATACAACTTATCTATTCCCAGGAGAGCAGCTTGGCAGTCTTCACCTCGGCTTTCAACGGTGAGGTTCTTTCCAATTTTGACGACGCTAAAAGTTGTTATAAGCGTCACTTTACGCAGGCGTATCCGTTTTGCGGGGTTGTAAAATTTAGAGATGGCATCCTCTACGATGCAGCTTCTCCTCGTGCAGTCAAAAGCGTCTTTATCAAAAAAATGTGGTGTGTGTAGATTTGTAATCTAGTGTTTTCTCAAGCATTTGACGTGCTGTTAAAATCTGGTCAATGATGGACCAACACTGATATGGCCAAATCAGTTGAACCCTGAGGTGATTCAGTCTTTCACAGTATCGTCGATAGAATCTTAAACCAAGTTTTATAAAGTCGCATCGCATGGTAATTGACACAAAACGGCGTAATCTCTCTTCTTGTGAATTAGGAAAAGTGCACAGTGTTCACGAATTCATCCGGCGAATTTCTGCTTAATAGCCGGCACATGTACGCCCTCTTCACCTCCGGCAGCTTAGCTAGTATTCGGTTCGTTTCAGGTCCTTTGCTGTTTTTAAGCCACATTATTGCTGTTCTCATTTCGTTCTAGTCGAGTGGAAGAACATAAGCCTCAATACTAACTATACACTGGTCTAGGTTTACTTTATTGGCACTATGTCAAAAAGTATTGAGGAGTCTTATCTTCATATCTCAAGTGTACTCTGGACGTCTGTTACCATCTTCGTCTTTGCTGGAACCCACCATAGGCGTGAAATCATTTGCTGCCTTTTTTTCTGGTTTAATCCAGGTAATCCTCCGAAATAAATTGCCTTCTTTGTGCGAGATATATAATATAATCTTTTATAGATTAGTTGGAAACTAATACCTTGCAGGGTGTGTTGTTTAAAGGTAAAAATTCTCACATACTAAATTACTATGATGGCATTTGCTCATAAATATGTCCACATTTTATAATAAGTACATATGTATATGTATTTGTACACATATGTACGTATGTGTGTATGTATGTATGTATGTATGAATACATTTAACTGTATTTTGTGTGAGCTATATACATACCCTGCAGCAATAAGGCGGCCAATTTTCCGTTAAGGTCTAGTACTGCACTGGTTAAAATTTGACTGGTCAGAATTGGACATTTTGCTTGCATCGAAAATGTCAGCCTTCGACCAGTCCCCAAGGAACCGAAACCCTGCAAATGTCCCAATCTCTTGGTCTGGCCTTGATGAAAAGTGCGCAGAGGTGCTTGCCACTATTTGTTAGCTTTCAGGAGGGTCCAGGTTCAAATGCCATCAGAAGCAACATGGTTATAAAATGATAACATTTATATTTTTTTTTGTGTTTCCAAATTATGAAAAAGCATCGGCGAAGTGCAGAACGCAATCTTACTCCAACGAAAAAAATCTCCAAAATTGGACTAGTCCAGGACTATCTTACGGTCAATGCTAAAAATGGCAGTTGAAACCATTGGCAGGGGAATTATGAGGGACTAGTGCTGGTAACAATAGGTACTATCTGAGGGCTAACTTAGGGTGAATCTGAATTTCTGCAGGGTATGCACATTTGTGTATAAGTATGAGTGTTCGCATGAGTGCGTGCCAGTTGGCATATGACACTTGCGCTAGTTAAGCTCTGACCATTGAATAGGTGTTTACTTACTCAAATTTATGGTCAGTGCTTTGTAAGGTTTATGCCGAGGTTTGAGTAAAGAGTGTGAGATATATAGGCAAAAGTGACTAGTCTGCAGTCAGTCTGAATAGAAACGCTTTAGTACGGTTCGCACATCAAAGAGTAAAATTGAAGAAAGTAAAATCAATCAAAATAATTTTGAAAATTTGTATGAAAATATCGCTTTATAAAACTCTTCATAGGTTTTATATATTTTTTTAATATAAAGTTTATTTAAATGTGAAAGTTTGTGAGTGCGTGGGTGAGTATGTTTGCTGGTCTTTCACACTAAAATAGCTAACCGTATTTCAATACTACATAATTGGCACACAAATAGGTTATAATCCAGATTAATATATGGGATTTGCTTTTTAAAAGAGTTGCCAATTTTTAAAAAGTTAAAATCGATTAGAAAAAAGTTAAAGAAAGCAAAAGGGGTTCAAAAACGATTTTTGGGAAAATAGGTTTAACGGGGGTTGCCACCTGCTTCAAAAGTTGAAATAAATTTAATTACAAGTTAAAAAAAATATATATTTTAATATGGACATCAAACGAGAGCGGCTTATTGAGGAAGTTTTATGTCGAAAATATTAAAAAACGGTTGCCAGCTGTTTCGAAATTGAAAACATATTTAATAAAAATATTAAACAAAATATTCTAAAATGAGTTCCAAACAAGAGAGATTTAAGAAAGTTTTATTTTGAAAATATTTAAAAAAAAAACTTGCCACTTATTTCGAAATTCAAAACCAGTTTAACAACAAATTTAGCGAAATATTTTATAATGGTTATCAAAAGAGATAGATTTAAGAAAGCTTTATTTCGAACATATTTACAAATAGGGCAACCACCTGTTTAGGAAATTCAAAATAAATTTTACTAACAAATCAAATGCAATATTTGTGCATAGGTTGCAAATTTTTGTGTTGAAAGTGTCGCTCATTTTCTTCATATAAAATAATGTTCGATAATTTTTTATATGGAGAAATTAAGCGACACCCTCAACAAAAAAAAATTGGTCCGAAGTCAATGTTAACTCCTAGCTTCCCCAGACTTCCACCCTACTGTACTAAAATTGAATACACCAAAAAACTGCTTACTTAATTTTTTTCTAAAGAGTGTAATTAAAAAGCGCAAAATTTTTACGAAAATTTACACAAGGTAATAAGCTATGATGTTTGGGGTTTCTGTTGTAGAATTAACCTTTTTTTTATAAAAAATGGGCTAAAAATAATATACTTTATATATTAATATAACTTTATTGATTGACTGTATGTATAAATATTTGTATTTGTGTGCGAGAATTAGCAGGAAAAGGAAATATCGGGACTGACTGGATTAAGATAACTATCTGAGTATGAGCATGAAAATGATCAGCATAATTCTATAGCATTGGATATAACAGATTGAGGTACAGCTGCCAGATTGATATAAGGCGGACGGCGTCGCAGACAAGATTTAGTTCTTAGTGGACAGATGCAGATAGTAAATAAATATGTAAATCCTGTTTGTAAACGAAAATGTTTATCAAAATAAATATTTTGACATTTGAACATTTGTAATTGGCCATTACTTATGTGCACTTTGCTTGACAAGCGCTCGAAATCATAAAAGAAATGCTGACTTCAGAGTGACTTTCAGCCACTTGTGAATCCATACATAGCAGTCATTAAGAAAGTGTGTAAAGTAAAGAAAACTTGTACATAAAAGGAGAAATATGTGTTTGTAAATATGGTACATTCAATGTTGCAAGGTCACTACATGTACATATGTATGTATGTACATATATTCAAAACAAATTGTCAAGGACGTGTTAAGTTGAAGGCACACGGTAATTGACTAATAACCATCGATAAGTTACATTTGACTTTGACAAGATGAACACACACATATATATATATATATATATGTATATATATATATGTATGTAAAAATATATATGCACAGGTAACCAAGTCATATAGGGCAATTTAATTTATTAAATAATAAGTTATACGCATCGCCTAGCTGAGTTCAATACACTTCTGCTTATCAAAAAAGTCTTTATAACCTATAAGTATATGAAATTGTTGGAAAGCAGAGATGGTAATCAGTATGAGTAAAATAATTTAAATCAGCATTTAATCATTATTTCATGATTTTTATATTTTTCGCTCAAAAGTAATAATTATTATTGATTTTTGTTTTTTCGCTCAATGGAAATTATTTTTATTTGACTTCTATTTTTTCGATCACAACTAATGATCATTTTATGATTTTTATTTTTTCGCTCAGACATAATAATTATTATTGAGTTTTATTTTTCCACTTAAAAATCATGATTATTTATAAAATTGAATTAGGCCATACAGACGCAACTTACTGAAATTTGGACCTGAAATTTTTGGTACTTATTCCTTTTATTAGGGTGGGGTGGTGTCGCTACCTCTGTAAAGGATACGACGGAAACCGCGCTGATATAGCTTTTGCGTTTTTTTGAATGATCATTATTCTAAAGTGAAAAATATAAAACTAAATAATAATTATTATCATTGAGCGACAAAATAAAAATCGTAGAATAATCATTATTTTTGATCGAAAAAACAATAAAAATCAAGTAATAATAATTACCTTTGTGCAAAAATTAAAACTCAAATATTAATTATTATTTTTAATGTTTATTGATTAAACTCGAAAAATTAAAATCATTATAAATTACAGTAGGGCGTACGAACAACAAATACGAGAGTATAGCTAAAACTGGTTTACGACGATTACAACTTGTTGATTTTTTTTTTTTTGTTTAAAATTTAAAAAATAATGATTATTTTCCGTCCCTGTTAGAAAGTATAACCTGAAAGTGCACTAATTACATACATAAATGGTATGCCTGCAGCAAGTGTTTTTGTTAATTTAACACTCAGCGTCAATCATTAGAATTGAATACAACAAGCGGCGACACTTCTTTCATAATTTTTTTTTGG